AACCCAAGCGTACCTCCTGCCCTGATGATCTGGTGCACGCCATGGTGAGAGCAAGGAACACACATGTTTTACGCAACAGTGGAGGCATTGGGCAAAATTCCGAAAACGTTGCTGCAGTTTCTATCGTCAGCCACCTTATCCTCCTAAGCAGCATGTAGTGCGGGTGAAGAGAACTCCAAGCATGCCCCTTTCTCTGCATAGGTTATAAATAGTGCTGGTGGACACTCAGCCACCCTCTCACTAACCACTTCAATGCTGTAGCAAGAGAATTTGTTTCACCATGCTCGTAATGGTTTGCTTTCATCCTCCAACTCCCCCAAAATATGAACGCCCAATTTTGTGTATGCAGTCAGTGGATGCCTTTGCAGGTACATCTGTCCCTACGTGAAAAAAACATTCCCTCTTGGAACTACACGCTGCAAAACCACGCATCCAAACTTACTGGTGCTCAGTGTTTTTATGTTGTCCCAAGTATTGTGAACCTGTTTTCCGTCTCGAGTTACGGTCACAATCACTGAGTATAGCGTGTTGGGAGTCAGTCCACCAAGGATGACTTCGCCATCACTGATGCCCACAGACGCCACTTTCGCGGGTTCGGAGTCAGCAGAGGATGCTGCTCTGATTGTGACCTTGCCGCCAACGAAGTCATTCCTGCCTTCCGGATCCCACTTATAGCGAATGGCTCGAGAACCCACGCTTGTCTCATAAAAGGGCGATTGCAATGAGATCACTTTAGACTGTGTCCCTACAATCAAGATGAGAAGGACGACTAAGGGAAGGATGTGATGACTAGCTAACAGTAGCGGTTGTCAGATATTAGCAGTAGAGTAAGGAGAGAAGAAACACCTCCTCCCTGCGACATGCGACCACGTTAAGATTAGGTGTCGCCTCCAGTTACAAACTAATTTAGAGCAACAATCCGCACCTAAACAAGTGCTGCGAGATGTAAAACGGCTTTGCACATATTGCGATTAGATCCTGCCATAAAAACAAAACGTACCGCCCAGCACTCTGCACTTCCCAATCAAAGCTGAAGTCGTCAACAGTATGAGACACCAGTGCAACTCCATCGCACACGCACAACTTTTTCTTTCTGTCACAACTCGTGGGCATTTATGAAGGTGCCACACACTCACATCAGCCTATGAGCTTTCCTCTCCTTGACCTCAAAGCGACACCCACACAACACTACATGTTGGCTTGAGTTAGCGTTGTCACATTCAACACTCACGCGTCTTAGCACCCAAATTTGAGGTAGTTGACGTCAAAGAGCCCACCTCAAGTAACATTTGATGGGTAGGTTGGAGAATAGCGAGTGTAAACTAACAACTCACCGCTGTCACCACTGCCCGGTAAGGCATGCCACTACCGCAATGCTGGCCTCGTCGCCCCGTTGTCCGAGGCTTCTCGACTGATGCCAGGCCGTGGACAGAGAACTTAGTCTAGCTGTGCCATAGACATTTCGCACACTTTCCAATCAGCTGTGCGTGGTTTGCTCCCAATTTCGACGTACTTCCTCACACACTTTGCGTGACTTAACGGTTGGATGGGGTTAACCACAAAGACACTGGTGGAATGAAGGACGTGCCTTGCATGTCCACGACATCGACGGGCTTGCCTGTGGAATCTCATGTACAGTTGACCTCCACCATGTGAGCAGCGCATCCGATGGATTTCACAGCGTCAGCACACCGTACCTCTGTGGGATGCATCACATACCACACCCCAGTCCCCCAGCTTCGTGTGATATCCACCAGGGTGGTTTGATGTGGTGCAGCGTACGAATGGAGGTGGTAGACATTCGCTCGAAATCCAAGTAGTAGGGTGGTCGGCAAGTAGTAATTTGCAGTTACTTCATTCAGAAATACACTGCATTAGGCCAGTCACATCCATCCGTCCCCCGCCAGTCCTACCAGCTGCTATCGCAAAGACCAACATACATGGTACGCAGTTAGACTTTTGCCCCACAATTTCGTGACAGCAAACAATGGGAAAGCGCTTGCAATTTAGCGATCTCAAATGAGGTGGTGCGATGAGTGGCTGAGAAGGGAACCCAACATTGCCCAAGAGCAACTATCTCACCTAACCGACACTTGCCTTCCGTAAGCAGAAGGTGGAGTTGTATTAAACTATGACACCACTGTCAATCTTTGGCACATTCATAGTCATCGTACTCTGTCTCATTTCAACTTCTGGCCTCTTGGAAAATACACTCGTTTTACGAGAGCGTCACTCTCGTCACACTCTGGCATGACAGTGTGAACGAGGTGAGGTTGGTGTCACAACACTGGCCTTACCTGAGACACTGCACACGCTTTTCCCACGAAAACCTGTCTATCATTTCTACTTGCAGCCAACTTTGCAAACACCACCACCTAATGCTGTCCAAC